ACTATCCTGCCTGATACCCACGTGCCCCATTCAAAATTATTTTCACCCTCATTTCTATTTCCATTCCACTTGTCTTCACATCCCCCAGCCCCTATTTATGCCATTCTGCCATAATTACTTGTTTCTCTTTCACTTCTTAAACTCCCTGATGTCAAAATGATGACTTAGCCATCTCTGTAACTTCAATCCCTGTCACAGAAAGAGCTCAAAGAAACTCTGTGACATTAAATGACCTAACAGCAGGAACAGACTGACTGGTTTTCAAAGAGGAAGAAATATGTTAAAGCTTCTGAAAACCAGGGTGTGGTGGGAGGAGATTCCCACTGCACATGAACGCACTCGTTGGATTCCATCTGCCCCAAACTGTCTCAGCTCATCAATAGATCTTGTTTAACATTATTGTAGGGAAAAATCAGTTGTCAAAATCTTCCACCCATTGGTACTGAGGCTTGCAGGAGGGCCGAGAACATTCATCTGGCCTTATGCTGCACTTGACGTGTACGTGGTTGGCCAAGTTGTAACCAGGAGAACCGCGCTCAGCTGCCCTTCTTACCTGCCTGTCCCTGGCTGCTTCTGAATCACAAGGGTTTGTCGGAAGTTCTTACACTACTTGCAACATTATTTGCCTTGGTTTTTGTCTTCCCAACGCCTATTAAAATGATCTTAAAAGAAATGACACATTTTCTCCTCGTTTCCCCTAATTCACTCTAGGATGGCCACTCACTGATAACCATCAGGGAGCCCTGGTTCAGAGAGCCAGTGGATCCTGAGGAAGGAGGCAGGAGCTTGGCGGAAGGAATCCAGTGTGCCTTATGGCAAGAAAAGCAGAGAAACTCATTTCCTAGGAAAGTCCTCTACTACACTCTCCCTGGGAAGTGGGGCACACATGTCTTGTACCATGCTTAGGTTTTTATTAAATCAGAAGGCAGGAGTATGACCTCTGTTCTAACAGTTTGGTGGTACAATGTCCTGAGAAGGTAAGTCCAATAGGGAATCAAATAATTTAAGTTACATCCCAAGACAGGGTTGTTGTTATTTTTTAGTTGAAAATGTCTATGACGTGGACTAGTGGAAAAAGAAATATCTTGTCATTTTCCTATATCCACCCTTTCCTTAATAATAAAAAAAAGAACACTTTTTAAATATAGATTGGTAGGTTAATACAAATCATATTATATACCGGTGAAATATTTATGACCCTTATATTAACTATTCAGTTTTCCTGACAACATTTCTCATAACCGCATACATTATGGGGAAAATAGATTATTTTCAATCACTACAATAATCATTAGCATCTGTGATATCACTTATGATCAACTTTAAAAAAAGAGTAAGTGAAATCATGTGAAGATCAATGTGGATGAGGACATGTAAATGGCAGTGTCCTCTGACCCCATGTTTGAGAAGTTTTGTAGTGCCCTGTAGGCAAAGGAATTGTGGCTACTTATTGTTTAATAGAGCAACTACTAAAATAGCAGTTTTACAAAGATAAGTCAGTGGAGCACAATCTAATATTGAAACTACAAACAATTACCTTAAGCTGAGAGCTCGAGTGGCATCTACAAGATGCTGAGGACTGTGGGGGTCCTGGGAAATGCTGCAGCACCCCAGCACCTTGGCATGTAGTTTGGGAAATGTCACCATAAGATTTAATGTGGAATTTCAGTCCACAAAAGAGAAGAGAGAAAAGGAGAGGTAAAATATTTACAGAAATCAGAGGTGAAAATTTCCCCAATTTAACGAAAGCTTATAAGAAGTCTGGAGTGACTGTGTCAGCTTCGTGTCCTTGGTCAAAACCGCCACATCCAGCACCCTGTACCGATGAACATGCATTCAGTACTCAGAAAGACTGGCTTCATTTGCTGGGTCCATTCCTCCTCCTGCTGCTTCTGGTCTCAAATGCAGGGAGGTAAGACTGCCCACTTCCTGGGAGCAAGGGGGAACGGCCAGAGGAAAGGGGGACAAGCAGGAAGGCAACAGGGAACAAGCCAGCTGTTCTGAAGAAGGGATGGAGGGGAGCGTCCTCACAGGCTCAAGACAGCCTAGCCCAGAGTGCTAGACAGCAGGGCAGGGTGGAGAGGACCTGCCCGAAGCGTGCTGCCTGGAGGGGCCTCAACTCTACGATCCCTTCTCTCCTGGGGTCTATGCAAAGGGCCAGGGAGGCTGTTTCAAGGCAGCATTTCTGGAGGCACCACACAGGACAGACTACAAGTCAGGAAATTCCTTACCTCCTGCGCTAAAAAAGGTCTAAGTTTAGTTCTCTCACTTGAAACTGAAATGAAAGGTTTTATTAAAACACTTATTACTTCCACTGCAGGATTTACTTTTAGGTCATTTACATCTTTTAGCAGAAAGTATCCTGAAGTGGTAATGGTGGGGGACATTCTTGAAGACTCCAGTAATAACCTGTTCCACTCTGAAATTCCCAAATGCTGATAATCATGTGACCATTGCCACAAAGCTAACGCCCTAGGACATTCAGTCACGCCACTGCGAACTACATTAACACAAAATGTTGTAAGTGATCGACACGTGATCAGAAAGAGCCTGACGGATTTGCCATTGTACCATATTCGCTTAACAATGATTTACTGAGTGATTCCTTTATGCCAGATCCTAGGGACACATAGGGGTTTACATTATAATGAGGAGTAGCCAGTGAAAATGTGAACAAATAAAAAAGGTAGACTTCAGCATGATAAATGCTGCGCCCCAGCTTTGGGACTCGGGGATGATCACTCTCCACGAGGGGACCAGGAAGGCTCGCCGGACATGGTGCCTGTGTCTGCCTACGACGTGACGCCCAGACAAAGCGTCCTGAGGTGGGGTGGGTGTCAAGTGCTCTACCCAGTGCTGAGCACTAACCAGCCATACTCCACCACAAGCCGAGACACGGTTGCCTCAGAGAATGTCACCTGTCAAGACAGTGGAAAGGCTTTCAAGGGCAAGCAATGTACACACTGTCATCAAGAGGAATAATTTTTCACTTGGGTGGACTGAGGTGTTTCTCCAGATTCTCTAAAGACCAGAAAGCTTCTGCCTTCCTCATCTGGTCATAGCCTAACGTTTTCCACTTAATTTAAAACTTGACAATGAAATGAGACATAGTCTTCAGTCAAAATGGCAGATCTGGTTTAAGGAACAGAGCATCCCCTAAAAAGTACCCTGAGCAGCAGCACCGGGTGCACTCCCTTCTCTACGCTCTCCATCCAGGACATCCATTCCGTGAATGTTGCCTTCTTTAGAAAAAGGGCCTTTGCAGATGTGAGTATCAGGCAAGCATCTTGAGGTGGGGAGAGTGCCCTGGATCATCCAGGTGGGCCCTAAATACTGCCCCATGTGAGAGGAAAGTGAACAGAGATTAAAGATAGACGTTACAGAAATCAACATGCAGATGGACAGGGAGACCAGAGAGGTACGGCCACAGGTCAAGGCGGGCTGGCACCTGGAGCTGCAAGGGGCCAGGAAGGATTCTCCTCTACAAGGGGAACACCACGAATACCTTGATCATGCCCTGGCCGATACTGATTTTGGACATCTAGCCCCCAGAATTGATAAATATTGTTTAAAGTCACAAACTTGTAGTAATTCATCCCAGCAGCCACAGCATGCTAATGCAGCAAGTAAGCGCGGTTGACCCTTGAACAACACAAGTTTGAACTGCATGGGTCCACTTTCATGTGGATTTTTTTAAGTAAATACAGTACAGTAGTGTAAATGTATTTTCTCCTCCTCGTGAATTTCTTAATAACATTTTCTTTTATCTAGCTTATCTTATTGTAATAATACAGCATTTAATACACATAACATAAAAATAGGTGTTAATCAGTGGTATTACCAGTAAGGCTTCTAGTCAACAGTAGGCTATGAGTAGTTAAGTTTTGGGGGAGCCAAAAGTTATACATGGGTCAGTACCCCACCTACCACAATGATTAAGGGTCAACTGTAATTTCTTATGATTTAAAGTAAATATAATGGTAGAAGAAATCAAAAGGAAAGGGATTTACCATTTAATGAATACCTAAATAAATTATTTCATTAAGCCATCGACAGCAACCCCATTATTCTTAGCCTTTTTTTTTTTTTTTTTAATAGAGAAAACCCACTTGGTACCATGACCGGACCTGTTTATTTTATGTTGCAATATCACCTACCTGTAATTGCTCTCATTGACAATGCACTGGTCAGCAACACTCAATGAGAAAACTGACTTTTTACTCCCTCAAATGAACTTGGAGATATAAAAGACTGCTATTTTAAATAATTTCATGCGAAATTCTATCTGAAGAAATATATATAGTCACCAGTGAAAAATCTGTTACTTCTTTCTACTAAATTCTTTGGGATGCAAAGATTAAAAAATTAAAAATTATTTTCAAATGAATCTGAGAGAGTCATTATCTCAATATATGGGTTTGCTTAAATTGTCTTATGAACTCATTAAAACACTTTTCATCTTAAAAGTAGTCGTCAATCCAAAGACAGAAGAAAAGTTCTATGTGCCTGGACCAGCTGAGTTTTCAGATACAATAGAGCATTCACAGTAAATAAAATGACAACAGGCCTTTGGATACGCACTTGGTCCCTGACATTGCACTTAACACTGGAGATGTGGCAAAGAACTAGCCTAATCTGGTCCTTTAAGGGGAAGGCACATGCCACCAAGAGCTCAACTGCATATCAATGCTATTACTTTAAAAGAAGCTATGTTAAACAATTAAAAAATTAATGTTAGAGTGAAAATCAAACTTGTCTATAGTCATTAGCCAATAAGTGGTACAGGTTCTAGTTAAACCCAGGAATATCTCTGTTCAAACAAAGTGAATCCCCTTAATTACGACATCTTAATGTCTGAATATATTCTTACAGGCTTTATATTGATATTGATACACTGATAGAGCTGCTTGATTATTAATAAAGGAGACATTACAACTGATGACATTAAAACTGTTGCCTATTTTAACAACTAAAAAAGTAAGTCAATTAATTACACCTACCTGGTTATTGCTGGGGTTGGTACACCTCTTGTACGCAAGGTGGGTTTCCCTCGAACAACTGGTACATCAGCATTTTCTGAACCACCATTCAAATATGTTAATTCCTGGAGCTGTGCTTGCCTGATTTCATCATTATAGTCCTACATAAAAGACAGAAGATAGCATAATTCACCTCATGTGAAAAATACAAAAGTATTTAGGACAAGAATAAAACAATTTTTAATAGAAAGGGTAAGGAAAACAGTTGAATTAATAAAGTAAGATTTGAGTTTGTTGAAATGAAAATGCATCAACAGATTGTTATTAAAAAGGGGGGGGGGGAACAGTATTTTCCCCAAACTAAAATTTTCTACAATCAGCCATCACTCCTTCTGCTGGGCATACTTTCCAAGTGAGATATTTATAATAAAATTAAAATACCATATACAGACATGGCATTGTTATTTACAACTCAATTCCACTAGTAATTACTGAGAATCTGTGAAATGCCAACTAACAGAACCAAAGGAGCAAGCCAGGATCCCTGCAGCCAAGGAGCTCACAATCAAGCATAGGAGAAAGACATACATATAACATGATAGCTTAACTGAAATTAAAAACCAAATGTACACATTTTTCTTGTACATTTCCATTTGGTTATTATACTAGAAACATGCACCATTTTCAAAACTGAATACATTTTATTCTTGGAAACTTGCTCTTTTTTATGTTACATTATTGTTTAAATATTCAACTGAGAAACCCCGGGAGTCATCCTTGATTCCTCCTTTCCTGAATATCTCCAACCCCATTCAATAGTCATCAAGAAAGGAATGTAAAAAATAAAAGTGTGATCTGTTTCACAATAAAAGGAAAGTTCAGGTCTAAATGGTCAAAAAGGAATGTCATCTAACTTATCTGTGGGCAGTAAGAGCAGATTCTCTATAAGTGTCATCTAAGGATGGGTGTGAACTAGTTACCAGAAGAGGGGCAGTAGGGTACTCTAGATAGAGAAAAAAAGCATTTTTTTAAGACCCAAAGAAACGGGACCTAGGGAACTGGAAGAAGTGCTATGTGGCTGAATTATAAGAAGGACCTCTGTGTGTGTGTGCGTGTGTGTGTGTGTGTGTGTGTGTGTGTGTGGAGAGGGGGTGGGGAGATAGTAGGGGGTATGGTCTCAAAGTGGTGTGGGTAGCAGAAACTAAATTTGTAAACAAAGCCTTAAGTCATTTTAAATATAACTTTAAAGGTTTAGAATTAAGGGTACTAAAAAGCACTCAATAGTTTTAAGGAGGAGAGTTGCATATCTAGGTTTGTGTTTTAGAAATATTATAAACAATTGTATGCCATCAAATTAGGTAACTAAGATTACAGAATGACATGTATGAATTCCCAAAAAGACACAAACTACCAATACTGACTCAAGAAGAAACAGAAAATTTGACAGATAAGCCAAGAGACTAAATTAGTACTTTATAAATGTCCTGCAAAGTGTAGGCCCACAAGACTTTAACGGTGATTTCTACAATTAATGAAGAATTAGTGATAATCCTTCACAAACTTCCAAAAAAATGAATGAGGAGGGAGCATTTTCTCACTCCTTCTATAAAGCCAGTAGGTCTGGGTACCACAACAGACAAAAACATTACAAGAAAAGAAACCTATAGATGAATATCCCTGTGAGGGTAGATACAAAAGCTCTCAAAAAAATTAGGAAGCCAAACCCAAGAGCATAAACAAAATAAAAGGGGGAAATATACACACACAAAAAAAAAAAACAAGTAAAACATATCAGAAATTGCTAGACTGGTTTAAAATCAAATATCAATTAATGTAATACCATAAAATAGAATAAAGAACAAAACATGATCATTTTAATACAGAAAAAAACCACTTGTGAGATGAATCCAATATATTTTAATGATAGAAACACTCAACAAACTAGGAAAACCCATAGTTAACATCATATTTAATAGTAAAAAAAGTAAAAGAATCATCCTAAGATAAGGTTAACAAGACAAGGATGTCTACTCTCTCCGCTTCTACCCAACACTTACTTGAGGTTCTAGTCAGGACATTATGTAAGAAAAAGAAATAAATGGTATTCAGATTAGAAAGGAAGCACCAAATAATCTTTATTCATAGATGACATAATCCTGTATATATAAAATCACAAAGAATCCACAAAAACATCAATAGAGTTAATAATCACATTACACAAGGCTGCACGATATAATGAGATCAATACACCAAAATCAGGGCAGCCCTGGTGGCTCCGTGGTTTAGGGCCGCCTTTGGCCCAGGACTTGATCCTGGAGACCCAGGATCGAGTCCCACGTCGGGCTCCCTGCATGGAGTCTGCTTCTCCCTCTGCCTGTGTCTCTGCCTCTCTCTCTCTCTCTGTGTTTGTGTCTCTCATGAGTAAATAAATAAAATCTTTAAAAAAAATACACCAAAATCAATTTTATTTCTTTATACTAATAATGAACAATACAAAAATAAAATTAGGAAAATAATTCCACTTAGAGTAGCATCATAAAGAACAGCATATTTAGAAATAATCAACAAAATAAAAGCAAGATTTGTACTCTAAAAACTAAAAAATAGTGTTGGAAGGAATTTTTCAAAATCTAGGTAAATGGAAAGATATCCAATATTCATGGACAGAAGGACCTAATATTGTTATGATGACAATATCCCTGCCCTGCTTTCCCACCTCCCAGACTGATCTAGAGTCAAGGAAATCTCTATCAAAATTCCAGCTGGCTTTTTTGCTAAAATCATCTGAAAACCCAAGTGATTTATATATCCAGAACAATTTTAAAAAAGAAGAACAAAGTTGGAGGACTAATATATTGCCACTTCAAAACTTACCATAAAGCCATAGTAACAAAGACTGTGTAGTACTGGCTTAAAGAGTAGACATAAAGATCCATAAAATAGAATTGGGAGCCCAGGCATAGTTACTATAGAGGGATGTTCTAACAGTCTAACAAGTGGTACTATAATAACAAGGAGAACACTGAAGATAATGGAAGCTTTATACTGTGCTGGCGGCAATGAAAAATGGTCTAGCCACTTGAGAAAACCAGTTAGCACTGCCTCAAAAATGTTAAACAAACAAACAAACAAAAGTTAGAGAGAGCTACCATATAATCTAGTATTTCCACTCCTAGGTCATACCCAAGAAAGCGAGACATACATCCACCCAAAAATCTGTACATGAATGTTCACAGCAGCATTCTTTATAACAGCCAAAAACTGGAAATGACCCCAACCAAAGTCCTCAACTAATAATGATAGGACAAATAAGACATGGTATATCCATACAATAGAATATCATCCAACAATGAAAAACAACTTGAATGAACCCTGAAAACAGTATGCTAAGAGAAAGAAGGCAGGACAAAAGACTATACATATTGTTCTGATTTACACAAAATGTCAAAAACAGGCAAGTTCATAGAGATTACTGGTGTCATGAGATAGAAAAGTGAGGGACAGTAGGGGACTGGAATGGAATGTACTTGCTTACAGGTACGGGGCTGCTCTGGGGGATGATGAAAGTCTAAAACAGATTATGTTGATGGCTGCATAACTGTAAATGCATAATTAGTCAGTGAACTGTATACCTTAAATGGGTGAATTGTAGGGTATGTGAATTATATCTCCATAAAGGATGTGTAAAAAGCAAAAAATAAAAAATATATAAATTAGTGGTTGAATAGGGAGGAAGATGAATGGGGAGTCACTGTTCATTAAGAGGTCTACTTGGGGGGTATAAAAATGGTCCTAGGTTATGGTGACAGCTGCAGAACTCTATGAATACACAAAAAGCTCCTGAATTGTATACTTCATAGGAGTGAATTTTGTTATGTGATTTATATCTCCATAAATATATTAAATGGAAAAAAAAAACACACACTCAAGGCAGAAATTCCAGATGGAAGCTTGTAATTCCTGTATATGGTAAAGATGACCTGGAGTAGGGAAGTGGCAGGAAGTATGAGGAAAGGTAGACTTGGCACTGTTTAAAATGTTTAATTTTATTAGAAGTGGTGATATCCTAGATCAGCAGGGGGAGGGTATATTGGCAAAGTCAAGAAAGTCAGTGGGCATCTGGAAAATAAGAAGGATCAGTAACAGTGATACTGTGTTGTAATCAGTTTTGTACAGTTGTGTTGTAATCAGTTTTGTTGAGGTTGAATCCATGATGGCCTATGACATATTAGAATTGAGGTATCTCATAGCAATGACACATAATAATTGGAAATTTAGAAGTTAAAAATACGTAAACAGAAGTGGACAAGGAAAGGTTCTGCAGGCCCTACACAGCACGGAGCAGGGCCTGGAGTCAAGGCTGGCCCCTGGGTGATTACCTCTAAACCTACTGAGGGGATGAGTGAGGAACCTTTGTTTTGGCTCAAGAAATGGGGTGGTGTGCTGGACTGTGAGAAGCTGAGGTCAGGTCCATAGGTGCCGTATGTGTACATGACTGCTCCCCAGTAAAAATGCTGTGCACTGTGGCACAGGTGAGCCTCACTGGGTAGCAACCTCTCATGTGTTGTCACACGTCACTGCTAGGAGAATTAAATGTGCCCTTGTGTAACTCCCCCAGGAAGGGACACCTGAAAGCCTAAGCCAGACTTTTCCTGGTCTTTGCCCTGTGTTCTTGCTCTTGATGATTTTGATCTATAACCTTTTGTTGAAATAAACCATATCACAGTGTATAACAGATTTTTTTAGTCCTGTGGGTCCTCTGGAGAATTACTGAGCTTAACGGTGGTTATGTGGACAGACCTCTAGCAAGAATTCCTCCGTACACAAATGGGTTGCTTGGGGCAGATTCTGGAGCTAGAGAAGGGCTCTGGGTATCGACATAAAGTCACAGAAGAAAAGCCACATGGGGGAGACAGGAAATGGGTGGCAAGCAGCTGGGAAGGACACGAAGGTCATCCTCCTGTGAAAGCCACCGGGAGCCAGTGCTACCTTCACATTCCGTCAGGCAGCCAGGTACTAGTCCCGTGGGACTCAACAGTAAAGCCAATCCTGACTTGGGGAACAGTAGTTCTGGCAAGGGTGCAGCTGGCATCCATCTCGAGGGAATGGAGAGGGAGTGGGGTTAAGTCACAGATACAGCACAGGCAGGCGGGTCTTCGAG